GAAAAATAATAATGAATATATTGGTTTATTATGTATCAAATAATTGGATAAACATGCATGTTACTCTCATTTAATTATTGTTAGTTGTTATTAGTATTATTATTTATTATTATTACTATTAATATCAATTTCAAAATATGTGCTACAAAAATAGAAATGAAGTATATTTTATTTGATTGGTGTTAATGTCTATGAAGATCAATTAACTAATGCATTATTCAAAATAAAATCTAATTTGAGTTATTAAAAAAATCTAATTTACTCAAATTGATTCACCATGGAAGACCAAAGTATTATGCTTAAATGGTTTTTCCTTCAATAAATTTACAATAATATCAAACAAACTATCTACAATTAATTGATCAAATATCATATTTTATTTAATTAAAGAAAAATGAAATTCAAATAACGAGTTTAGTTTAATTTTTCAACCTTTACCTCACAGGTTAATCTTTTTTAAAATTAACAATCCTTCTCGAGTTCATCAAATTAAATTGTTTTCAACTACAACAACAAACACATGGAGCATTAAGTTTACAAAGTTTTAAAGGGAATTGCCTTTCCACATTTTGATTGTTGGATATATTGTATTCTAATCCTAAAAACTGTGGAAAACAATACTAATAATATGCAAAGCATATATAGCTGTCAAACTCAAACTGCTTCTTTTGTCATCTTTTCCCCTTTAAATCACAATTTCCCTCTGGTTTCATAATACATCCTTCTCGGATAACAGATCAGTGAAATTTTAACATGTAAGAGTAAACCAATAATAAAAATGGGTTATCTTCTAGACTGGACTCCTGTTTTAATCCATAAGCACATCTGCGGAAACTCCTTGGACCTAACTAGAGCTTTTATAATAGAAAAGTTGTTCTGAATGCTAGGCAAATGAACATTAAGAGTTTTGTGTTTTTCTTAAATTGTGTGAAATTATTAAGCTTTCTTAAAATGAATTCTATTCACCAAAACAGCTGGGATGATATGCTTTCTAATTTGTTGTACCTAATAGAAGGTATATATACCTCTTTGAGTAGCCTGAGGTTTTGTCAAATTAATTAAGTTTGGTGGAATGGAATTTAGTTTTAGGATGACTTTTTTTCAGCTAAAATACTATGGGGCAGAAAATAGGCTGATGTGTTTTAAATTCAAGGCCTAGATTATGCGGTGGTCCAAGTTTGCAAAGTCAGACTCACGTGCAATAATAAAAACCTGGTAATTTATCATTCATCAATAATGGCCCAACAGAACAGATCAAGCTTTAGTCCCTTGAATGCTATGATAGTGTTTGACCAACTAAGTACTAACCTAGCATACCAATATCCCATTCTCCAGAATCAAGTTGGACAACCATCTCCCACCTTATCACTAGCTCCTAGACTTGTATTGAACCATGAAACACTTCAAAGAGGCTCTGCAAGCTGCATTACTCTCATTACACAAGATGCATGTGAGCCTATTGTCTCTGTGTACAATGGCATCAGTAACATAGAAGAACATAAACAATTATTCATGTTTATTGCATCTCAGAATTTGAGTTGCTGTTTGAAAACTAGAGACAGATTAAAAACTAGACAATTTGGTGTATCAAACAAGGGAATGTGGGACTGTGATGTGCTTTCACATAATGCACATGAGACATCCAGCCTGCCACAGCTGGGGCAAATGTCGAGTGAAGCTTCACCACCAAAAAAAAAAAAAAATCCTTGGTAGTGTTAGTATCTAAACACATCAGTCCAAGGATATCCATGCAGAACCTGAGTTACATTTCCTTATACATTTCCTTACCACCTGAGTTACATTTCCTTGTTCTCTATTTGATTTAGGAAGGAACGAACAATGCTTGATCCCATCCTCTCAAAGGATGTGTTGATAATGCCTTGTAAAGGAATGTTGAAGGCATGTGCTATGTCTCTGCCAGTAAGTTTGTATTATCACTTAACCCAGAGAAGGGAGGTCAAAAGAAAGTAGGATATTTTGGCCTTTTTGTTTAATATTATGTTTAAATATTTTTTTCTGAGTATTCAAACTTCAAATGTGAATAACCTTTTATGCAGGATCTTTGGAACAGTCGCTGTTGCTTAAATGAGATTGAAGACTTTGATCACTCAATAGTAAATACTACTTTAGGTGCATGTGGTGAATTACTGGCTCCAAAAGAGGGACCTTGTCTGCCCTTTCCTATCTGGCAGTGTGGTGAGATTAAGGTAGTTAATACCCACATTCACGGAATTGATATTATGATGACACCTAATCATGGAATTGATATCTTGCAAGTATTTTGAATGTGTTGCAGGAGCTCAGTGAGATATTTACTTTATTGGAGTTTGATTGCTCAAAACCAATTAGTCCATGTTATGGACAAGTGCAGGTAACAGTCTACCTTATATGCAAAAGTAATGTAGGTTACTAGAAATTCTCACCTAAATTTCATCATCTTCTTGAACGGTTTGCATATTTCTACAATATACCGATCTAGTTTCATTAACTTTGTTTAATTCCCATGTTTTGCTTAAACATGAGAATTCATCAGCTAGTTTACAGCATGATGTAACTTCTCTTGTCCATTCATTCTTCTGGATCCATATACTTGACATCAAAGCTAGGATGTTAGCCCATTATGCATCTTGCAACTTAATTAAACATATAAGGTCAGTAGCAACTAGCAAGTTATATAAACCATGATGGAAGCCATCCCTTTTTTCTTAAATTAACATATCTTGCACATCTAATCTTGGAAAATGTAATTCCTGCAGGTGAAATTCACTGAGCCTGCGATATGCCATGGGTTTGTCCTATGGATTGATTGGGTGATGGATGCAGACAATGCAATTGTATTGTCAACTGGGCCGGGTAGGTATTTCTTTTTTTTTTTGGTTATACAATAGAAGATAACCATTTCCTTCTCAAATCTCTCTCAATCTATCCTAAAATTTCTAATTTGAAATCTTTAACATGAAAACTTAAGTTCTTAATTCTTTTGAAAACCCGGGTAGGTGTTCCTAGAGAGGCTAATTAATTAATCATCTGCAGAAAAATGATTGTAGGAGATCACTCTTATCATTTTACATTGTTTACTGCAGATCACAGATATTGGAGGCAGGGGGTTAAGCTTCTGGCTAAGCCTGTAGCAGTTGGAATACAAAGATCAGAATGCACATCTGAATCAGTTTCTGCCGTGGTTGAAGCAACGTTTAATCCTGCCAGCGGTGAGCTCTTAATCAAACACGTTTTCTCATGATTTCTGTGTTTTTAGGAGAGCCCTTGAGTTTTGATCATTTTTTCTGGCCGTCCTTGAGTTGGACTTAATCTCTAAATTATCTTATATTTAACCGAGTGAAATTTCCAATTACAGCTGCTAACTTGTGAAAATTCTCTGTTTTAATATTTTGGGAAATGTTTGCCGAGTTCTGCTGCCACTCGGGCTTATCATCTTCTCCTTAAAAAAGAGAACTCAAAAATAAAAAAGAAAGAAAAGAAGCGACCAATAATATCTAGAGTTAAATTTAAAAAATTTCATTAGAAAAATAAAAAATAGTTAAATCTTAATATTTGATAATTTTTTACTAAATTAAGAAGTACATAAGGAATGTATATGTATACTCCTTTTAAGTAAGCACGTTACATGGGTGAGCTAGACTGACTGAGCCCAACCCGAAGTTGGGTTGGAGCTCAGCTTGGACGCTACATAGGCAGGGGCACATCCGCACATCCCTTCAAAGATAAGATGGACTGGGCGATCTTAGCCCAAGTGCAATGGCCGAATTGTATTTGTAATTCGTAGTCTGTAAAAAAAGGTTATTTATAAATTTCTCAATTTCAAGAG